CGTTCCGTCCTGTCCCGTCCCGTCCGTTCCGTCTCGTCCCGTCTGCATACCAAACAATACCTGAATGAAAGGAGATGTGAATGATGAATTAGGATTTAAGGAAGACAAATCATCTAAACAGAGCATAAGAGTTATCACGCCCAAACTTTTCTTTAAAAAAAAAAATACGGCAAGATAAAGTGAGATCATTATGTGCCAAGACGTTAGCTACAAAGTTTGATTTTTCGTATATATGATTCCACTGAACATCCTAGATTCCCTGCACCGATTGGATAATCAGTCTTGAATCTCCCTTCACCATAATGTTCTTGATTCGTCTACGTCCGGCATACGTTAGTCATTCCCTTAGAGTGATGGCCTCATCCACCGAGATATATAGTTACACCGTCTATGTTTAAAGGCTCCAACTCCAACAAGTTGCCCTCCAACATTTTCTTAACACAAATGCAGCAGCTGCTTCCTTTTATATGTGAGTCAAATATAATAAGTTCACTAATCAAGCGAAGACAAAGTATTACTAAACCAACGAATCACGAACAAATACCCTTTATCTTTCGATGGTGTAAAATTTGACTTTCTCAAATTTCCTTCCAAAGTCGTAAATAAAATGTGTCCACTCAAGCACCCTTTTTTTTTTTTTTTTTTTTTTTGCCATCTTCACTCTAGCATGTTACTGAATAATTTAACACATTTTGGTAGATGTGGATGATGATAATGTAAACACTTAAGAGCTGAGGACCACTTGCTATATTTTTTTCAGGACCAATAAATTTTAAATTCGAAAGCAACCTCCCTAAAAATCGAAATATCAGACATAGGTTTAACAATTTCTTACACTACATGTTAATCCGACACGAAAAATAAAATGATACGACACGTTAACGACTCAAGTTGTTATGTGATCGATTGTTAAAAATCCGTTAAAATAACGAGTTCGACATTACAAACATCATTAAGATAATATGTGCGATACAAAAAACCACCAACATGATAATACAACCCCGTTTATCATGCCTAGTAACACATTGCATGATTCTCTTTGCATTTGGTTAAACATGACATTTCATCTTTCAAAAAAAAAAAAAAAAAAAAAAAACATGACATTTGATGGCACATGTTGAAATAGAACAATATAATGGGTTGTTAGAAAGGTAAACAAATATAACTTTTTGTGGTCAATCAATCAACAAATATATTCTATATTTATGCATTTTTGATCCGGACTACACGAACTTACGAGTTAACAGTCAAATAATTACGTGATTGTTGTAGTTTGTTTTATCTGACAAGATTGAGGGAGGCTGGCGGTAAGGAGAAGAGAAATTAAGAGAGATGTCTATGTAGAATTGTTTGTAGAATTGTAGGGGAATGTGTATGTTATCCCTCTTACATAGTGCCTTTATTTATAGTAGTAAATGGAGAAAAGATATTCTTTCATCCCCAAGGAATACAAGTTGTAATAAGAAAGGATAACTAGAATAAAGATATTCTTTCATCCCCAAGGAATACAAGTTGTAATAAGAAAGGATAACTAGAATCCAATCTAATTTAGGATTTACACAATCATACTTTAACTAGGAAAGTTTACAACAGTGATATTATTCTAAGTGTCATAAATATTTGCACAGAAAAATAATTATTTTATGTACATTGGCTTCTTGTGATAAGAAATTGAGTGATTTTAAATTTAAATTTAAACAGAAATTAAGAGAAAGAGAGAGCAAATGGTGAGTCGGGTCCAAGGGACCCGGGTTGGAGGTATCGACCCATTTCCAAGAAGGAATTGATATTTTCTTGTTGTACATTGTATCGTTGTGAATTAATCAATCAGTTGACATGAATATTCAGCCTTCCAAATTTTACAGACACCGTTGTCACCTTCAACTTCAACTCATTAATTGCGATTTACGCGTCAATCCAAAAAGACAACACGCCGTTTATTACATTAATGGGCCTATTTGGAGTTACTTCATTTGGAAGTTCCTAATGGGCCAAATGGGTTTATTCAACTTGGTTTTTTAGGTGTTCAACTTTCAATTTATTTATTTATTTATTTATAATATGATTTGGTACTACCATGATAATCATTGATTTGGTTGAAGTAAACTAGTGACATTATTCATTTTATTTTGCATTTTAGTCGGTTCGATGGCCACGAAAAAACACCTCATATATTGTTGAATATACCTACGTAATACATCTTATATTTGTTTTTCAATTAAAAGTAAGCTCAACGCACATCCCACTCTTAGTTAAACAACCCACTTTATACAACTAATTAAGGGGTTAAGAATTGGTATGTTTTGAGGCCCATAAATGTCACATGCAAAGCCCATCGTGTCTCGAGATTCGCTATACGAGCCTCATGCCAAGCCCAAATACATGCAAAGGTACAAAATCTAGAAAGGAATATATCCACAACCATGCCACACTATGGTAATTAAGCCGGATACTTGTATAAATCATGCCATGCCTGTGCCTATTCATCATGCCAAGCTTTATCACACTAATTACTATTCAGGCTAGAATAAGCCCAAGTCAGATACTCGGGGTTTGCCAAGTGAATTGTGGTGTGGATGGTTACGGAAGTTTATTGGGCTTATGTGGAGTCAATCTTATGGAAGACTTTGGGCTACTTGGGGGGCCTAAATTTCCAAGCCTATAACCCTTGAAGCTTATGTGGGTAAGCCTAAGAAAGAACCAAACCCAATTTCCCATTTACCTAGCAAGCTAACCAACTTAGTTAGGAGTGAATCAAATCCTTCAACCTTAGAATCACATGAAGAGCCAGTAAAGCTTGCATTAATGGGTCACGTATAAGATTGACGCATAAAATTCCTGAGGCATTACCAGAAGTAGCCTATGTGAAAGACTAACTTGGAAAAACAGCACATTGGGAAGAAGGCATGATGCAGGTTTCATAAGGTGGCAGCACCTAGGCGTCTTGCACCAAAATAATGGTGGCAGAAGAACTAGGGAGAAAGGAGAGAAGGGACCAAGCCACAATTAGAGATTCCTTGGGAAGCAATTGTTCAACTGCAAATATAGGTCAAAATCCTTAGAGAAAAGGGATAACACAAAGACTGGAAGCCCATAAAGCAACACCCCTACAACCTTAGTGTTATTCCATAGCTTTTCCTCCAAGTATTCTATCCATCATAAACTTCGTTACTGCAATAGGAAACCAAGATTATCCAACCTAAAACACCATACAACCATGCAAACTCTCTCTCTCATGCTAAATTGATGGACTTCTAGCTTCCACATCATGTCTCACTTAAGCAAGCCATTATTTGCTTAATCATGCTAATCTTTGAGTCATTGATCTAACCGGGATATTTCCCAAGACAAGCTAACTTTTTCGAGATATTTTGGGACTTGATACGAAACCGAACTAAGGAAGACAAGAGGACGTTCCCAAAACCCAAGTCCACCTTGACCTAAAAGTCTCTCAACAATAGGGAAGATTGATTGGATTAAAGGAATCAAGTTCCAGAAAGATGAAAATTTGCCAAAGAGGAATATACAAATGGGGGACAAAAGTTGGGATTAATTGGTTGAATATCAATTATCAACGTGAAGCTTCTCTTATGAATATTTTTTTTTCCAATTATGCTTGTAGTTTTATTGATTAGGGTTTTATTTTACAAAGGAGGGCAAGAATGGTTTTTAGAGTTGAAGAAGATAAATAATATTGAAATATACAACCATACAACCGTGCAAACTCTCTCTCTCTCTCTCTCTCTCTCTCTCTCTCTCTCATGCTAAACTGATGGACTTCTAGCTTCCACATCATATCTCACTTAAGCAAGCCATTATTTGCTTAATCATGCTAATCTTCGAGTGATCGATCTAACCGGGATATTTCCCAAGATAAGCTAACTCTTTCAAGATATTCTGGAACTTGATGCGAAACCGAACTAAGGAAGACAAGAGGACGTTCTCAAAACCCAAGTCCACCTTGACCTAAAAGTGTCCCAACAGTAGGGAAGATTGATTGGATTGAAGGAAACAAGTTCCACAAAGATGAAAATTTCCCAAAGAGGAACATACAAATGGGGGACAAAAGTCGGGATTAATTGGTTGAATATCAATCATCAACGTGAAGCTTCTCTTATGAATATTTTTTTTCAATCTATATGCTTGTAGTTTTATTGATTAGGGTTTTATTTAACAAATGAGGGTGGGAATGATTTTTAGAGTTGAAGAAGATAAATAATATTGAAATATACACATTAAAAGTGACTTAGGGTGTGTTTATATATATATATTTGTTAAACCTTATGAGGTCAAAATTATCATTGTATATTAAGACATATGAATCATATAATATTATATTTTGGGGGTGTTTAACAATACACGAAGTGCCAATAAAAAAAGTCATAAGTGAAAAATAGTTGCAACCAGGACCTCGAACGGCGACGTTTAGCCATCACACTAATAAAGCATTATTTTTTGTTTTTAGTACTTCGTTTTAGAGAGGGAGGAGAAAACTTCAAATTTTATTACTCAGGAAACACTCTATTTCTACCCCTCTTTCTTTCTCATCTCTTTTTACTCTCTATTTCTATTTTAATTTGGCTCATAATTTCTAGTGTTTAGAGAAGCGGAGCTTTAATTCCATCTTTTATTTTTGAATTCTTGTAAGACGAGAATCAAAGCTAAATCATCTCACTTCCAAGCGAAGTGGAATGTAACTAGCTTATCGTAGTAACAAAGTCATAGTTTGATGCACTTATAATTGAAAAGAGTTCTAGATGAGAATCATTGCATGACGGTAGGAATTTGGTAATTTCCTTCATTTCAAGTTCTTATTTGACGTCGGAGTTTAGGTTCAAGTAGAAGTAATGGCACTTAGCAAAGATAATGGCTTGTGTAATCGTATTTGAAAGTCTCAAAAGTCTCTCGTGAAGAGTCTCACTTTGAGAGCCTCTCCTTGGCACTTCTCAAATAAGATGCGCACTACAAAATTTAAACTCAAAGAACAAAAGCTACAAGCATTGAACTCAAACAGTATCCTATTATATCATCCATCATTACAAACTTGAAAGTCTTAACATCTTTTGTAATCTTTAATCCCTAATGCTTAGTCCTCAACTACGCTCTCATCGGAGGGAGGGTCATCGTGGTCGTCGTTAACCGGCAAGAAGACCACAACTCTCAACAGCCCTTGGACTACAAGGGGCCAATATGCTTCACCAATATCGCCATGATTTAGAATGGAATCTGGATAATTTGGCAAATTAACCCTATATTCTGTGTTGTCTATAACAACGGGATTCACCAATTGAGCCACATCTAACATCAAATCAACTTCATCCTCGCAACCACGGATGTCAAATGTTCCCATGGGCAGTGCATCTCCATTTGGGGTAAGCATGGAAACTGGTATGAATTTGGGGAGAAACAAGTCTCTAGCTTCAACAGAGACTATAAATCCGGCCAGGTTGATCCAGGGAGGATTTTGAACATTCTGCAAGCCTTGGAGATCCATTCTTTGTTGTTCATTGCCGGCTTGGAGAACGTACGTGACACCATATCCTCCATCAGGGACATCAATGCCGGGAAGCGGGTGGAGGGACAACTCATTAAGCACAAGCTGGTGCAATGCACCAGCATTAGGCTGTCCGAGTGGATCAACGCGAGACACAGGAACGTCCAAATCGTACGTGATCCTTCGGATTTGTACGTGTCCACCGCCATCATCGTCATTGTTGCCGTCTCCAACGTCACCTTCAACTTCATCGTCTGCTTCCGATCCGTCGTCATCATTGTCTATGACAACGCCTTCATCACCACCAAGGTCTGCATCAGCATCCTCTGCCAAACCAGCATCCATATCCACCGCGGCAGCTGCACCACCAAGGGCTGCAGCTGAAGACACCATCAGCTGCAAATTGAGAAATATATCAATTAACTAACAATAATCTTAAGATCTTGAATATCTCAGATATCCTCTCCATCTCCATCTGAGATTCAAAGGGGGAATAATGGGATTGAAAACAAAACAAGATACGCACAAAGAAAGATAAAATGGGCAAGATTTAAAAACTGAAAAGTGCCAAGATATCCCGCCTGATTTAACAAAATGGGTACCATGACTGCTTGTTATAGTCCAGAAGTTCATTTAGCAAAGAGAAATTGTAAACGGAACTCCAAACTTGACGCTCTGTAATTCCCCGTTCAGCAAGAAACTAGCTATTGACGACGACAAAGAGAAATACCCAAAATATTGAAAGACGCTTCTTTTATTTGCAATTTCATCGTGGTCTTTAACCAAATTACTCCCACTAAGCAGTAATGGACTAAGCTTTTGACGACAAACTTGGGTAAAAGCCATACCTGCTTCTTGTAAGAAGGCGCTTGCTCCTCCTGCTTCGATTCCGCCATTTTCTTTCAACTTTTGGGGGTTTCTGTCAACTTTTGGGTGCAAATAACATTTGGGAAGTTGTTTTTACACTCTTTTTTTTTTTTTTAATGCAGACCTTGTTTATTTATGGCCTTTGGATCGAATGAGAATCAACGGATAGTAATAAATAAGTGTGTGCAAAAAGAAAAATATGGGCTGCAAGAATCTATTCTATTACGTGCTATGCTTTGATTGTCAAGGATAATGTAACAAGACAAATGTCTCTTCTTTTTCTTTCTTTTTTTTTTGGTTAAATTGGTTTAATTAATAACTAACAATCATGGATAATGTGGAGCTTACGAATTTGTTTAATCGGGTGGGATGTTTTGAAATAGGCGCCCCATTTTACAATTTTGTTGATTAAGCATCTGTTTCTTTTAAGAACTTAATTAAACATTTTTTTCTATAATTTTATTAAAGGTATGTTTGATTGTATTGGTATGTTTGATAACCTATAATATGGGTGCTTTCGATTTTATGGCACATTTGAATTTCTGATACATTTTGTTTCACGGTACATTTAGAATCTAAACGTACTAAAAGTTGGTATGTTTATTTTCAAATGTACCCATAAGTTTTAAATACCATTTTTTTTATATAACTATACGTCAAATTTAAATAGATTAATGAAGTTTCTTATAAACTTTTTTTAATGAAGAAAGTGACCAATTAAAGATAATGACAAAAATAAGCCACAAATTTTTTTAGTATAGTGATATATTTTACACTAAAAGGAGGGAGGAGTTCGGTTAGGCTACACAATGAACGACTTAATTTGATATCGAATTCGTCATCCACGAGTTTTAATCTAAGTCATTTCACTTACAAGTAAAAATAAATATCATCAGACTGTAATACTGAGTAACAAATAAGCCACTAATTTACAATTCTAGAGAATTTAGAATTTCTAGAATTGGAAATTAGTTGTTAGCTAATTTAAGTGGATATATATTAAATAAAGAAATAATTATTGAATTGTGAAGTGGTCAAAGCATCTTAATCAAGTTTTGTACAAAAAACAAATGTCAAGTCTAAACAAGTTAGAAAAACTACAAGGGATTCTAATTACTCCGGTAATTTAGTAGAGTATTATTTTTATTATAAGCTCTCCTTTCTCTCACAAGTGTTAGGTACGAAATTATACTCTTATGAATGACGAGTTTGACATCGCGAGAGGCCGTTGAGCCCAATTAGATAGTGAAGAAAACAAACAAACAAACATGCCCAATCAGATGGTCACATAAATCACCATTCACAAAAACAAACTAACTGCCAAATCCTTCCCTAAAACAGTTAACTGGCAGATTGACATGCTCTCTCTTCTCCGATATACGTCAACCGAAGAAATCCATCTCCATCTTTAAATTCGTCGTCAATTGCAGACATCGAGGCACCTGTGATATTCATTCAAAGAATTATAACCTCCACAACTCTGGAACAAAGACAATATGCCAAAAATAAAAGCGAGTTACAAACTCACTCACCGGCAGGAAGTTCAGTGTTCTTGCAGAAGACACGCACATGGAATGTTTTACTGACCGCAATATCCATCTGAATCAAATCAACAAATTCTCCAAGAGTTTTCTGACGGGGGACATGGTATCTGCAACGACAAGAAATAGTAAGCAAACCGAACAAATTGAGAACCCTTTTCGTTTAAAACGAAGCTATGACAAGAAAGGAACTTGGACGGCAGATCTTATAGCTAATATGGACTATGAACACTACTTGGTGGAATCTTTCGCTACTTGGTAACCAATTCATGCACGTTGTAACTTGTAATTATATAACCATGGCGACAGTAACAAGCATTGAACTTTATTTCATACAATGAACAAGGACCAAGGCACTTCCACGTCTCAACAACACCATGAACAATCCCATTCAACTATAGCAATACACATCAAAATAATTAAAGCAAAAGGGAATTGCAAACACACTTTTTTACATCAATGTCAGGAACGTCACTGTCTGCCCTTGGATCCTTCTCCACACTCACCTGCGTGTGAATCTCATCAAATTAAAACAGAGTACATCCACCAAGTGCATAGGACGTAAACACATTTTATGCAGCGAAAGTCTTACTGGTATATAATCTGCACGCTTCTCCCTCAACTGTCTAGCGTCCGTGCAAGTGCGTTGTTCTTCTGAAAGATTACCATATAACTGCTTGTACCTCTCTAAATAGAACCTGAACGTACATCAAAACCATAAATGAAAACAAAAATTAAACAAATAAATAGCAATCTTATATCCATAAATAGCATACAAATCAAGACAATTAAAGCAAAAGAGAGAACTTGCAACTGACTTCCTCGTGTTCTCGCTCATGCTAGGACTGGAAGACAAAGCCTTCTCCCGCAATCACATGCATGGAGGCCCAAATTAGAACAATGTATCCACTGAAAGCTTTGGAAGTAAATATGATAATTATGACGTAAATATAATGAAGAGAGATGTTCCTACCATCTTGTATGATCTCAAATTCCAAGGTTCTAAATACACAAACGCATTTCTCATTATGTCCACGTAGGCTCTTTTCCTTCTTTTCTCTGCCAACCTTCTGAAAAAATATTAAAGCCGTATGTGAAAACTGAAGCATGTTCTTCCAATGTAGCAATAAAAATTAAGACAATTGGGCTACAAAGTCATTGGCAACAAACTTCTCTTGAATGTCAGGCATGTCACTCTTTTCAGCAGCTTTCTCAACAATCATCTGCACAACGGCACAAATCAGACTAGAGCACATGCCACTGACAAGGAAGTGAACGTATCTGATTCGCTGAAACTCTTACTGGTATCGGGTCTGGATTGTTCTGTTCTGCTTGCATGCTTTCTGAATATTTTAGACCAAAAACATCAGAAAAAGACAGATGAGAAGATAAACATGGCTGAGCAGTCATTATCATTTACAAAATACACCAAATGATCACTACGCTATCTGAATCTATAAAATTTGGAATTATTCCTTAGTGAGAGCCATCTACCAAGACGAAATACTAAAATACGCACATGGGTATTGCACAAGCAATACAATTAACCAGAAAGTTTAAAAAACATACCTAGATGATTTTCTTGCTTATAAGAACTTTCGCCCAAGTCAAAACTCCCACCACGGCTGTGCTCTGCAAAATTTCAAACAATAAACATCACAACCGCACAAACTAACTAACAACTTAAATCTCAAGTATAGAAATAAAATTTCTTCCAAAATAAAGCATCAATAATATCAACCCTACATTTGTGAAACTTTGAACTAACAATCAAACTATAGAGGCCATCATATCTCGAAGCAGAAAATTTAACAACACACCATTTATGTAACTTTTTTCTCCACTGTAGGTCACATAAAGAAAACCATCTTCATCCTTGTTTTCCTCATGGATGGCAGACATCAAGGCACCTGTACCATAGGACAAACTATTTACAATTACAACTCCAGGAACAAAAAATTATGCTTGAAGCCAAAATGAGTTGCAACTCACTGTTGGGAGGCTTAGTGTTCTTGAAAAAGACAAATATAGGTTTTTTAGAGTGGATGTGCCCCCGAAGAAAATGAACAAATTCCCTAAGAGGGGTACCATCATAGACATGACATCTGCAGTCAGAAAAAATAAAAAAAAAAATCAAAAATAAAACCACGTGAGACCACCTCATTTTAGACAATCTAAAAAGAAATAAATGAAAAAGATAAAACCAAGCTAGGGGTACAAATGATCTTGAGAGTTTGTGTCTGTACTTTGTAGTAACAAGTAGGTTTTCTTATATACTGATATGCTTATGAAAATTACTGGGTAGGAAGGCTTCCATACTTGGGTAACCAATCCAGGCAAATCATTACAACCAGAACCAGCCCTCGAACTTCCACTAAAGTACCCAACTCAATTATTTTGGTAAAATGTTAACGATACACATGACCAAAACCTCTGGGTCCATATAGATTACTTACACACATTAATAAGAACAAAACAAGTGTTGGGCTTTTTCACATATATCTCATTTTTTTCTTTCCTATATCCAGACAGATTTCGGATAATAATCAAAAGCATAAATGAAAAGGGAACAATCCTAATTCATTACATCAATGCAAATCAACTAACCTCCTCATGTCAACGTCAGGAACGTCACTCCTTGCATCCTTCTCCATGATCACCTTCATGGAAACTCAAATTAGAATAGAGTGCATTCACCAAATGGATTGCTAGTAAAATGTTTGATGCTTCGGATTGTTACCGGTATATAATCTGGACGCATCTCCCTTAATTTCACAGCATCTAAGCTAGCAAGGTGCTTGAATTTTCTCATTGGATTCCTGAACATATATCAAAAGCATAAATGAAAATTGCATTGTTTAGATACAATTCAAGATACTTAAGTGAATTGGCAACAACCTACCTAATGTTCATGGCAGGATCAACTATTCCTGGAGCCTTCTCCATAATCACCTGCAAGGAGAGACAAATTAGAATACAGTCTACACTGAGTGCGTAAAACACAAACTTATTGATTCAGTGAAACTCTTACCAAATTCCTATTATTCCATGGGTCTAAAAAATAAATGGGCTTTGTAAAGGCCTTGCATACTGTTTTCCTCTTTCCATGTGACGAATTTCTGGACATATATAACAAACATAATAAAACATTGAAAATCTTGTCCCATTGTAGCGATACAAATGAAGAAAATTATAACACAAGGGTATTGCCACGAACTTTTTCTCTTCCAAGTCAGGAATGGCACTCCTTGCAGTAGCATTCTCCTTCAACGCCTGCAGTAGCCACCTCCCAATGTCTAGGGAGTGAATATATGAATATAATTAATTAAGTGATATTCTTACAGCTAACATATTTCTATTGCTCGCTTATACTTGATTAGTTCCTAAAATATTCTAGTCCAAAAACATAAAAAGAAAACAGATAATTGGAAAGAAATCAAGACCTAAACTAATAGCCAAGGGTGCTGTTATTGGCTCTCCACAAAAATTCATCTTGCACTCCTCGTGTAGAAAAAATGACAAATCTTTACTTAGAGTTAGAGGAATGCAGGATGACCATTTTGGAGTGCCACTAACAACCCCCATAACCAATTTCCAAAATAAACCATAATTACTGTCAACCTTTCCACCAATGAAATTTTAAAATCAACCATAAGAAACCACATGGGCCTTCGACAAGGACGAAATACCAAAATTGCATAAACTGTTAACCAGAAAAGAGAAGGAAAAAAATCAACAAACCTTGAGGATTTTCAAAACTCCTACTACCGCTGTTCTCTGCAAATTTCAAATGACAAAACATAATAACTTATCTTAATCAGAGATTAAAAACAGCTTTAAATACAATTATGGCACAAAACTCCCTTCCCATTATAAACCATAATCACAGTCAACCATTCATCTATAAAAGTTATAATAACTTTTTGATTTACAGAAAACCATCTTATCACAAAGAAGAGAAATGACTACACATGCCGTTTATGTTTTAGCATGAAGAAAAAAACAGAAATATTTAGACTCGGTCGAATAAAAGGTTGTTATTTTAAAACCTCCATAGTTTGACCATCAAGCGGAAAATTTTGGATACACTAAATAGAAGCATAAAAGTCCCACTTTCTGTTTACGATTATTATTTTTAAAAAACAACCCCAACCCCAAAAGAGCCAAAGCTCAGTGATTCTGGTTGAAAAATCAAACATCCAAAAATCATCACTGAATCTTAGAAAAACCCAAAAAGGCACATGGCCATTGCCAAACTATAGTATCGCTCCCCCCCCCCCCCCCCCCAAAAAAAAAACCCAAAAACACACACGGGCCACAACAAAAATAAAACAAACAAACCCACCCAAAAATTAATTAACTAGCGACATCAAACACAAGTATGACAAGAAAACATTAATGTTGAACTATTTCACAAAGAAACAGAACACCAAAAACTTAAAGGAATCAATAAAGGTTTGGTAATTGAAGAATTGATTGTTGAGAATTGAAAAACAACAGAGGGTCAAATATCAATCAAATGGGGAAAGAATTCTTCAGCACAAATCATAAAAGATGAACACGTTCTTAAGGGTTTAATATCGGGGAACAAATCTGTTTTTGGGCTATTCCCGACTAAAAAATTCCAATTAGAAGCCTGCACTGTATTTTAATGTTTCTCAATTTCTCTCTTAATTCTCATATTTCCAGTCTCATACTTCTCACCAAACTTATAAATATGCAAAAGAACATTGTAGTAAGTCACCATGGAAGTCAAATCAAGAATCCAAAACATACAATTAAAGAACAAGAACAACAGAGCAAATTTATCATAAATGAGCACCAAAGCATACAACCATTTAGGGTAGCAAGAAAAACAAAGAAAATTCAACGTATTGAACAACTGAAAATTTTAAGTCACATTAACCTCGTTCAGCCTCACATCCATAAGATCAAAACTGAGGGTCCACTTTCCTTTAAGAAAGAACAAACTATCCGAAATATCCATCTAAAGAAGGAATTTGTTACTGTCTATATTTCTGACCCATCAAATTGAAGATTGAAAAAGCAAAATAAAAAGAGATGGATCGGATGAGTCAAAAAACTGGTCACCAAATATATAGCAGGTTAGAGATATAATGTGTGCTCCAAATGTAACCACATTTTATTACTTTTCAACTATTTTTTGCCATACCATACGCAAAACTGAATAGCATGGCATTCATGTTTAATCCAAAGAGATGGACTTTGTTACTGCAGCTAACAAATTGAAGATTGAAAAAGCAAAATAAAAAGAGATGGATCGGATGAGTCAAAAAACTGGTCACCAAATATATAGCAAGTTAGAGATATAATGTGTGCTCCAAATGTAACCACATTTTATTACTTTTCAACTATTTTTTGCCATACCATACGCAAAACTGAATAGCATGGCATTCATGTTTAATCCAAAGAGATGGACTTTGTTACTGCAGCTAACAAATCACGGGTTGAAATCGTGAAATCAGGCATGTAATTAAAATTGACTCAGATAACAGCAAATTTCAAGCCTAAACCGAAACTTCTGAATCCGGAAAATTTCAAACCGGAACTTATAAATGTTTATGACATGCATTCCTTTTTCAACTAACACAGACCCCAAGTTTTCTTTTTCAGTGTCACGGTTACCCTTAGAAATTGTGGTTGTATTACAGAACTTTGCTCTCGGTAAAAATTAAGGGTTTTCTTTATCAATTTGTTAGGGTTGCTAATTCGGGGTGTTTGCCAATTGAAAAAGAAAACCCCAATTTTCAGGGTTTTCTATAAATAAATAAAAACTTGGGATTTCTCTGAACTGACGAAGAAAACCCAAAGTTTTTAGGGTTCCTGAAAATTGAAAAATAAACCCACAAATTTCTCACACTACCCCTAATATTCAAAGAGAAAATTAGGGTTCCTGTCAATAGAAAATAAAAAGCTACAAGTTTTATGGTTCCTTGAAAATTAAAAGCCCTAAATTTTATCATCAGACTCAGACAGACGAAAGATTCATAGAACGAACACCAGCTTCTAACATTACCAACGAATCCATGATATCAAAACACAAAAAGAAACGGTGAAAATCGTGAATGATGATACCTTCGCCGGCAGCCATCGATGAATCCATGACGACCCCAACTTTCAGACAACATTCATACCGGTTTGTTTTCGGGTCATTTCTACTCTCTCTCTTTGATTCAGTTTGTTGCAACCAAAACCCCAAACGATGTTTTAGCCAACGCACCTATGAAATATTTATTTTGTTTTTTTTTTTAATTCTTTTTTGTTTTTTTTTTTTGGGAGAGAGAGAGAGAGGGAGAGGCTCCAAATTTTATTATTTAGAGAAAACTCTATTTCGACCCCTCTCTTTCTACAATTTTTTTTGGGGAGACAGTGTTTTTAAAATAAGCGAAAGTATTTTTTTTGTTAAATTGATTTCATGTTCCAAAAGTATAAATGTTTTCTGAAAGAAGCATTATATTTGTGTTTCTGGTAAAAAGCGCTTAGAATGCTTTTCCATTATCTGCTTGAATTTTTACTAAGAATTAATTCAAAAATATTTTTACTAAAAATGCTTTCAACCATTTTTGACACATTATCAAACGAGCAATAAATTGTTTATTTGTTGGTTGTTTGATCCAAGTAATTGCCGTGATCCTATAAATTAGAAAGGGAAAATACTTGAAATTATATTATAAATTTTTTATATTGGGATAAACTCAATCTTTGGATGGTGAAACAACAAAAAAATGGACCTCACAAAACGTTATTATTCATGAAATTTAACCTTCAAAAGTTTGTTTGTTCAAGTGGTGAGGGGCTAAGGGTCAAAATCAAAACATATTATGTAACTCGTAAAAAAAATATTAAAAAAAAAAAAAACGGAGTGATAAGTTGTTTTCTATAAAAGGTAAAAGGTTATTCTTTAACAATTTCATGAAAAAGAGTAAATTTTATTATTTAGGGAAAACTCTATTTCTACCCCTCTCTTTCTACAATTCTTTTTTTTTTGGAGAGATAGTGACACACCCCGACCCTAAAATCAGGGCGTGCTGGCCGTCACGTGAGCGTGACGTAACCATGAATCCATGACGACCCCAACTTTCACACAACATTCATACCGGTTTGTTTTCGGGTCATTTCTACTCTCTCTCTTTGATTCAGTTTGTTGCAACCAGAACCCCAAACGGTGACGTTTTAGCCAACGCACTTATGAAATATTTATTTTTTTATTTTTTGGGAGAGAGAGTGAGGGAGAGGCTCCAAATTTTATTATATAGAGAAAACTCTATTTCGACCCCTCTCTTTCTACAATTCTTTTTTTGGGGAGAGAGTGAGGGAGAGTGTGACATCCCACATCGTCCAGCGGAGTGATCCTTAAATGTATATTCTCATCTTTACCTAAAAAAATACACACGGGCCACAACAAAAATGAAACGAACAAACCCAAAAATTAATTAACTAGCGACATCAAACACAAGTATGACAAGAAAACATTAATGTTAAACTATTTCACAAAGAAACAGAACACCAAAAACTTAAAGGAATCAATAAAGGTTTGGTAATTGAAGAAGTGATTGTTGAGAATTGAAAAACAACAGAGGGTCAAAAATCAATCAAATGGGGAAAGAATTCTTCAGCACAAATCATAAAAGATGAACACGTTCTTAAGGGTTTAATATCGGGGAACAAACCTGTTTTTGGGCTATTCCCGACTAAAAAATTCCAATTAGAAGCCTGCACTGTATTTTAATGTTTCTCAATTTCTCTCTTAATTCTCATATTTCCAGTCTCATACTTCTTACCAAACTTATAAATATGCAAAAGAACATTGTAGTAAGTCACCATGGAAGTCAAATGAAGAATCCAAGACATACAATTAAAGAACAAGAACAACAGAGCAAATTTATCATAAATGAGCACCAAAGCATACGACCATTTAGGGTAGCAAGAAAAAATGACAAATCTTGACTTAGAGTTAGAAGAATGCAGGATGACCATTCAAATATATAGATTTGTGTTAAATTGATTTCATGTTCCAAATTGAAAAAGAAACCCACAAATTTCTAACACTACCCCTAACATTCAAAGAGAAAATTAGGGTTCCTGTCAATAGAAAACAAAAAGCTAAAAATTTGATATATTTTTACACTAAAAGGAGGGAGCAGTTCGGTTAGGCTACACAATGAAAGACTTAATTTGATATCGAATTCGTCCTCCACAAGTTTTAATCTAAGTCATTTCACTTACAAGTAAAAATAAATATCATCAGACTGTAATACTGAGTAACAAATAAGCCACTAATTTACAATTCTAGAGAATTTAGAATTTCTAGAATTGTAAATTAGTTGTTAGCTAATTTAAGTGGATATATATTAAATATAGAAATAATTATGGAATTGTCAAGTGGTCAAAGCATCTTAATCAAGTTTCGTACAAAAAACAAATGTCAAGTCTGGACAAGTTAGAAAAACTACAAGGGATTCCAATTACTCCGGTAATTTAGTAAAGTATTATTTTTATTCTCCTTTCTCTCACAGGTGTTAGGTACGAAATTATACTCTTATAAATGACGAGTTTGATATCTAATTAAAAACATAACTCTGATTAGGAATATCACAACAAACGACGATATTCAAGGAGGGGGTTTTTTTTTTTTTTTTTTTGGGGGGGGGGGGGGGGGGCGCGGCGCGGCGGGGGGCGGGGCAAGTTGAGAACCAACGAAAGGAGATGGTCTCTCCGGAAGGATGACATCCATCGCGAGAGGCCGTTGAGGCCAATTAGATAGTGAAGAAAACAAACAAACAAGCCCAATCAGATGGTCATATAAATCACCATTCACAAAAACAAAACAACTGCCAAATCCTTCCCTAAAACATTTGACGTCTGATTTACTTCACCGTTACACAAAAGTTAACTGGCAGATCGACATGCTCTCTCTTCTCCGATATACGTCAACCGAAGAAATCCATCTCCATCTTTAAATTCGTCGTCAATTGCAGACATCGAGGCACCTGTGATATTCATTCAAAGAATTATAACCTCCACAACTCTGGAACAAAGACAATATGCCAAAAATAAAAGCGAGTTACAAACTCACTCACCGGCAGGAAGTTCAGTGTTCTTGCAGAAGACACGCACATGGAATGTTTTACTGACCGCAATATCCATCTGAATCAAATCAACAAATTCTCCAAGAGTTTTCTGACGGGGGACATGGTATCTGCAACGACAAGAAATAGTAAGCAAACCGAACAAATTGAGAACCCTTTTCGTTTAAAACGAAGCTATGACAAGAAAGGAACTTGGACGGCAGATCTTATAGCTAATATGGACTATGAACACTACTTGGTGGAATCTTTCGCTACTTGGTAACCAATTCATGCACGTTGTAACTTGTAATTATATAACCATGGCGACAGTAACAAGCATTGAACTTTATTTCATACAATGAACAAGGACCAAGGCACTTCCACGTCTCAACAACACCATGAACAATCCCATTCAACTATAGCAATACACATCAAAATAATTAAAGCAAAAGGGAATTGCAAACACACTTTTTTACATCAATGTCAGGAACGTCACTGTCTGCCCTTGGATCCTTCTCCACACTCACCTGCGTGTGAATCTCATCAAATTAAAACAGAGTACATCCACCAAGTGCATAGGACGTAAACACATTTTATGCAGCGAAAGTCTTACTGGTATATAATCTGCACGCTTCTCCCTCAACTGTCTAGCGTCCGTGCAAGTGCGTTGTTCTTCTGAAAGATTACCATATAACTGCTTGTACCTCTCTAAATAGAACCTGAACGTACATCAAAACCATAAATGAAAACAAAAATTAAACAAATAAATAGCAATCTTATATCCATAAATAGCATACAAATCAAGACAATTAAAGCAAAACAGAGAATTTGCAACTAACTTCCTTGTGTTCTCGCTCATGCTAGGACTGGAAGACAAAGCCTTCTCCCGCAATCACATGCATGGAGGCCCAAATTAGAACAATGTATCCACTGAAAGCTTTGGAAGTAAATATGATAATTATGACGTCAATATAATGAAGGGAGATATTCCTACCATCTTGTATGGTCTCAAATTCCAAGGTTCTAAATACACAAACGCATTTCTCATTATGTCCACGTAGGCTCTTTTCCTTCTTTTCTCTGCCAACCTTCTGAAAAAATATTAAATCTGTATGTGAAAACTGAAGCATGTTCTTCCAATGTAGCAATAAAAATTAAGACAATTGGGCTACAAAGTCATTGGCAACAAACTTCTCTTGAATGTCAGGCATGTCACTCTTTTCAGCAGCTTTCTCAACAATCATCTGCACAACGGCACAAATCAGACGAGAGCACATGCCACTGACAAGGAAGTGAACGTATCTGATTCGCTGAAACTCTTACTGGTATCGGGTCTGGATTGTTCTGTTCTGCTTGCATGCTTTCTGAATATTTTAGACCAAAAACATCAGAAAAAGACAGATGAGAAGATAAACATGGCTGAGCAGTCATTATCATTTACAAAATACACCAAATGATCACTACTGCTATCTGAATCTATAAAATTTGGAATTATTCCTTAGTGAGAGCCATCTACCAAGACGAAATACTAAAATACGCACATGGGTATTGCACAAGCAATACAATTAACCAGAAAGTTTAAAAAACATACCTAGATGATTTTCTTGCTTATAAGAACTTTCGCCCAAGTCAAAACTCCCACCACGGCTGTGCTCTGCAAAATTTCAAACAATAAACATCACAACCTGCACAAACTAACTAACAACTTAAATCTCAAGTATAGAAATAAAATTTCTTCCAAAATAAAGCATCAATAATATCAACCCTACATTTGTGAAACTTTGAACTAACAATTAAACTATAGAGGCCATCATATCTCGAAGCAGAAAATTTAACAACACACCATTTATGTAACTTTTTTCTCCACTGTAGGTCACATAAAGAAAACCATCTTCATCCTTGTTTTCCTCATGGATGGCAGACATCAAGGCACCTGTACCATAGGACAAACTATTTACAATTACAACTCCAGGAACAAAAATTATGCTTGAAGCCAAAATGAGTTGCAACTCACTGTTGGGAGGCTTAGTGTTCTTGAAAAAGACAAATATAGGTTTTTTAGAGTGGATGTGCCCCCGAAGAAAATGAACAAATTCCCTAAGAGGGGTACCATCATAGACATGACATCTGCAGTCAGAAAAAATAAAAAAAAAAATCAAAAAT